GTGTGTGTGTGTGTGTGGGTGCATATGTGCGTGTGTACGTGTGGGTGCATATGTGCGTGCTTGCGTGTGTATGCATTTATGTGTGTGTGTGTGTGTGTGTGTGTGTGTACGTGCTTGCCTGTGTAAGTCGTAAGAGTGGCAACAATTTTCTCCCCTCTTCTTCATTATGTACGTGGACTTTGAAACTGGAACGTGCTGGAGTCAACCACCACCATCATTATTTTCTGCACTGGAATGTTTGTGTGGCACCTTGGTTCTGTGGCACCTTGGTTCTGTAACTTTTTTTTTATGGTTCTGTGGCACCTTGGTTCTGTGGCACCTTGGTTCTGTGGCACCTTGGATATGGCACCTTGGTTCTGTGGCACCACCTCTTAGATATTAATAAGGAGGTCAGCTGGCACTAGAATATAAGGCACTCACGACAAACAAAGAAACGGACTTAATATCAAGTCACTCACACAATGTAAAAGGAAGATGGACTTTGGCTTATGGCACTATTAGCTGAGAGAGAGAGAGAGAGAGAGAGACACTGTTTCATCCAGCCTACATCAATAAAACTAATTAATCAGTATCTGTTAATAGAGTAATCAAGGAACAAGAGAAACTCATTAGACGCAGATAACAGATCTTCATTCTTTTCCTTCTCTTGTTAATTATTAAGACAGGTGCGTTTTCTTCATCTAATTAATAACTAAAATCAAAATACATGATCATACACATTGGTTAAATGAATATACTGGTACCTTTCAACTTATTAATTACCAAAAACTGATAATTTACGAATAAGAGAATAAGCCTCTGACCTGACCCGACCTGACCTGACCCGACCTGACCTAATCTCACCTAAGCTCCTTCTCTTATCCGCTACAAGACCTTCGGCCGCTCTCCAGTACTCTTTAAGACGTCTTCAAAACTTAGAAAAAATCATCACTTTATTGAAGAGTGGAAGTCAACTTTGTCTTTTTATGTCACCAGAGTTTTTGTTGTTATTGTTGTTGTTAATCTTATTGTTGTTAATCTTCTTGCTGTTGTTGTTGTTGTTAGTATTGTTGTTTGTACTATTTCTCGTATACTTATAAATTAATAGTTTCAAACCTAACCTAACCTAACCAAACCTAACCTAACCTACCCCTAGATACCATTCGGGAGTTTAATCATCAGGGAAAATAAACTGAAGGAGGGGCTAGTCTTAATGTATTCCCCAAAGAAAAAACAAAAAACAAAACCAGGCTCGAACCTGTACCTTGACATCTGACACCAGTGCACTATACCACTTAGCCACGGCCGTCACACCAATTTAAAAACACGAAAAAAAAGTGTAAACAATTATTAATAAATTTTAGCTGTAAAAAATAAAAATAGTCGAAACAATATGAATGCGTCTGTTCTGAATTCTTCTCTTAAATTGAGATTTTTTAATTTGAGTAATTTTGTGGGTAATGGCGGTAAAGGGTGGAGGAAGTGAGGAGAGTGAGAAGAGGAGGGTGGGAGAGTGAGGGGTGGAGGAGAGGTGAGGGAGGAGGAGAGTGAGGGGAGGAGGAGAGTGAGGGGAGGAGGAGAGTGAGGGGAGGAGGAGGAGAGTGAGGGAGGAGGAGGGAGGGAGGAGGAGAGGGAGGAGGAGTGAGGGAGGAGGAGGTGGGGGAGGAGGAGAGTGGGGAGGAGGAGGAGGTGGGGGAGGAGAGAGTGAGGGAGGAGGAGGTGGGGGGAGGAGGAGGTGAGAGGGAGGGTGGAGGAGGTGAGGAGGGAGGAGGTGAGGGGGGAGGAGGTGAGGGGGAGGAGGTGGGGGGAGGAGGTGAGGGTGGAGGAGGTGAGGGGGAGGAGGAGAGTGAGGGAGGTGAGAGGAGGAGGAGAGTGAGAGGAGGAGGTGAGGAGGAGGAGGAGGAGGAGGAGAGGTGAGGAGGAGGAGAGTGAGGTGGAGGAGAGTGGGGAGGAGAGGTGGGGGAGGAGGGAGGTGGGGAGAGGTGAGGGGGAGGAGGAGAGTGGGGGAGGAGGAGGTGGGGGGAGGAGGAGGTGAGGAGGAGGAGGGAGGGAGGGAGGGGTGGAGGAGGTGGGGGGAGGAGGAGAGTGGGGAGGAGGAGAGTGGGGGAGGAGGAGGTGAGGGGGAGGAGGAGAGTGAGGGGTGGAGAGAGAGGGAGGGGGAGGAGGTGAGGGAGGAGGAGGTGAGAGGAGGAGGAGGTGAAGGGAGGGAGGAGGAGTGAGGGAGGAGGAGGAGAGTGAGGGAGGATGAGAGTGAGGGAGGAGGAGAGTGAGGAGGGAGGGAGGTGAGGGGAGGAGAGGTGAGGGAGGAGGTGAGGTGGGAGGTGAGGGGGGAGGAGGAGGTGGGGAGGAGGAGGTGAGGGAGGAGAGGAGGGGAGGAGGAGAGTGAGGGGAGGAGGAGAGTGAGGGGAGGGGAGGAGGTGAGGGGGAGGAGGAGAGTGAGGGAGGGGGGGAGGTGAGGGGGAGGAGAGTGAGGGAGGAGGAGAGTGAGGGAGGAGGAGGTGAGGAGGAGGAGGTGAGGTGGAGGAGAGTGAGGGTGGAGGAGGTGAGGGAGGAGGAGGTGAGGGGGGAGAGTGAGGAGGAGGAGGTGGGGGAGGAGGAGAGTGAGGAGGAGGAGGAGAGTGAGGGGAGAGGTGGAGAATGAGAGAAATGGGTAGTGTATATCTCTCTCTCTCTCTCTCTCTCTCTCTCTCAGCAGACGTCACCAAGGGGTCATTCACCCTTTGTTCAGCCAGGGCGTTTAATAATGGTAAACACACACACACACACACACACACACACACACACACACACACACACACACGATAGGCCAATTAAGATCGCCCGATCCTTCAGTCCCTACACGCCAACACCTCCTTCACTCCTCCTTCCCTTCCTTCCTCTCTCGTTCCTTCCTGCATTTCTTTCAATCTTTCTCTCTCTCCCTTCCTCACTGCCTCCCTCCCTCCCTTTGTAGTTTCCTCCTTCTCACCATAGGCCCACCCTCTCTCTCACTCCCTCCATCTCTCACTCCTCTCCATAGGTCTACCCTCTCACTCTCCATAGGTCTACCCTCCTCCTCCATGTCTACCCTCTCACTTCCTCCATAGGTCCACCTCTCACTTCCCTCCATAGGTCCTGGTCAATACCCTTTTCCTTCCTAAAATATCCCCCAAACTTTAGGACCGAGAGGAAGATTAAAGTTGACACACCTGTATTAATTAATCTTACCTGTGACTACCTGTTTGTGGTCATTATTTTATGTATATCACGGTGTAGCTTGTGAGGGTTACTGTAGTGAGCTGGTTTGGCCAGGAGGGGAGGAGAAGAGAGAGAGAGAGAGAGAGAGAGAGAGAGAGAGAGAGAGAGAGAGAGAGAGAGAGAGAGACTACTCACCTCGGCACCCAGTCACCAATAACATTTAACCTATCGTAAATATTGATTACTTTACGAACCATCAAATATATTATAGAAAAGTAAATATAATTTTATATAAATCTTTCAACCACGAGAAATATGAGCAAGAAAATATATATCCAACGGTGACTACTTTACACACACACACACACACACACACACACACACACACACACACACACACACACACACACACACACACACACACACACACACACACACACACACACGTAAACAACTTAAATATCTTAGGATGAAAGGATATATTAAATTGTTTTCGGTGTTCTCTCATTTGGGCCAAAATATAACAAGGATATATATCATAGCATAAATCTTTGAATGAAATATATCTGAAAGTAGAGCAAAAATATGTTTCGAATATACATTTACCTTAGTGAAATTTATACTGAAATATGATACTGTAAAATACGAATATACTGAGGTATTTTTTGACTTACCTAACACAATGAAGCATAATACTGAGCAGAAGTCCTCGCCACCCGAAGTGATACGAACGTAAGCTGCGTCCACTCATTCTGACTCACTTAACATAATTCCATAAACCAATCAATTTAAATACTCGCTTCTTCTATCACTATTCATACAATTAAGAACTATTTTCATTTATCTCTTATCTACATTTTTCGAGATTTTTATCTATGAAGGAGATATATTTGATTTGGTTTCACTGGATTTTAGGTCGAAGTCTTAGTCACTTGTTCGAATCTCTTGTTTTATTCACTCGCTGCTACTCATCTGTGATTATTATTATGGTACAAAATATTTGATTTACGTATAAATATATAAATTAATGTTGAGAATTATTATTTCATGTATGTATGTATGTATGTATGTATGTATGTATGTATGTATGTATGTATGTATGTATGTATGTATGTATGTATTATGTATATACAGTACAAAGTCAGAATAATATATACCCGATATATATAAAAGAAATATAAAAATAAATCACTAAGTTAAATAAAAAATAATAAAAATGTATAACAAAGATACGAATAAAACGACAAATTATATAAAAATAATAATATAGAAATGAATATAATAACTCAGATGTGTATATATATCTATCTATATACATAATATATACATCATACCTGCCCTAAGAGGAACACAGCCGCTCTATGTATATATATAATGATAATTGCCATTATTTACAGGTAAACACGTGTCCAGCGTGATGAAGTGACGTTTGGTGGTTGATGTGTTGGTTCGTCTGTATCAAAGCCCCAGGACGATAACCTCATAGTATAAAGCACAGAGAGAGAGAGAGAGAGAGAGAGAGAGAGCCACGTGATAAGCCAGCGTTTTGCATGCTCGTGTTAATCATCTTTTATGAGTCAATGCAAGCTAGTTATCTAAGTTATCTATGTAATATTAGCTGTAGCACAGAGAGAGAGAGAGAGAGAGAGAGAGAGAGAGTATACATGAATGTAATGTTAGTATGTGTATAGGTTAATTTGTATGCATATTTGTTCAAATGTATACGTTAAATTAGCACTGTTACTATGTATTGACTAATATTATATGTATATTTAGGTAACTATCTCTTCCAGTGAATGTATAAAACGTTGTGTAAAAAATAACAAAGTTTGTAAAATTGAAACCAAGGAAAGTAAGAAAGTTTATAAAAATGAAAGATATAAGTGTTTGTAAAGTGAAAGTATAAAATCTTGCATGAGTGAAAGTAATAAATTGTGTAAAATGTGAAAGTATAAAAGTTTGGAAGGTGAAAGTATAAAATTTTGTAATAAAGTCTAAAAGTTTGGAAAAGGAAAATGTAAACTAAAATAGTGTATAACTCGTAAAGGGTTATATGTCAACTTTCCAGCGTGATAATCTTTTTGTTTTGACGGCTACGTTCTGATGAGAGAGAGAAGAAGAGAGAAGAGAGAGAAGAGAGAGAGAGAGAGAGAGACGAGCAAGCATGAAACTTCAGTCGGAAAGCGAAACGAAAAAAGATACTAAAATATTTTCACCCTTTACTTGTTATCTTCCTCCCTGACCTCTGTTACGAAGATTCTAACCCAAAGAGAAAAAACAAAAACTGATAATAAAACTAACCAAACACCGTAAAACAACAATAAAAATGAAAATAACAAAACTAAACCGGATTCAGTACACGTCAGGTTAGGTTTTCATTTTTAAAGTTGTGACTCTGACCTTTGACCTCGTAACAGGTGTAGAAGTTTATATAAATATATAGTGTATGTATTGGTTATTTTCAGTGTCCGCTTAAACGAATATCCGGTTAACGTGTATATCTGTTTAATGCATAACCACTTAACACGCATCCGCTTAACGTACGTTCGTTTATCATACATTCACCTAACATTCATCCGGTTAACATACAGCACAAACATAATGTACATCCACTTAACGTAGTACATCCGGTTAATGTAGATCCGGTTAACGTTCAGGTTATCAGCAACACATGATAATACGTTATGTAAACAGACTGTCTCTACCGAGTGTAAACAACGGTATAACTGTTCCTGGGTCATTATGCGGGACAATAGGTATATAGTTTGTCTATCCGGGCAGGTAAACAGAGCCGCCACTGGTCGCCCTCCTCACACGCCCTCCTCACACGCCTCCTCACACGCCCTCCTCACACGCCCTCCTCACACGCTCTCCTCACACGCCCTCTCACACGCCCTCCTCACACGCCCCACCACACGCCCTCCCCACACGCCCCACCCACACGCCCTTCTCACACGCCCCACCACACGCCCTTCTCACACGCCCTCCTCACACGCCCTCACACGCCCTCTCACACGCCCTTCCCCACACGCCCTCACACGCCCTCCCTCACACGCCCTACCACACGCCCTCCTCACACCCTCCTCACCTGCCTCTCACACGCCCTCACGCCCTTCTCACACGCCCTCCCCTCACACGCCCTCCCCCACCCACACGCCCGTCCCACACCCTCCCCACACACCCACCCAACACGCCCGTCCCACACCCCCACACACCCACCCAACACGCCCGTCCCACACCCTCCCCATACACCACCCAACACGCCCGTCCCACACGCCTCTCGCACGGCTTCCTCACACACCCTCCCCACCCAACACGCCCGTCCCACACCCTCCCCACACACCCACCCAACACGCCCTTCCCCACACGCCCTTCTCACACGCCTTCCCCACACGGCCAGGTAGAGCGGGTAAACAAGAACAACAATATAAGATAAAAATAGAACAGGATTTAAGTCAACAGGAACCAGTGGAATATAGTTGAAGTTCTTCCAGGAGTTACAAGACATATTCCAGTTTTTGTACTGGTGACCAGGGGAGGGTGTCCACCACACCTGTACCCACCATACCTGTACCTACCACTCTCCTGTACCACCACACCTGTACCTACCACACTCCTGTACCTACCACACCAACCTGACCCACCACACACCTGAACCCCAACCTCCCTGTACCACCATACCCCTGTACCTACCACTTCCTGTACCCACCATACCCCCTGCACCCACCACCCTGCACCTACCACATCCTGCACCCACCCCACACTCTGCACCCACCATACCTCTGTACCCACCATACTCTGCACCCACCATACCTATCTGCACCCACCATACCCTGCACCCACCATACCTCCTGTAACCACCACACCTGCACCCACCCACACCTGTACCCACCACCCTCCTGCACCCACCACACCTGCACCCACCACACCTGCACCCACCATACCTCCTGTACCCACCATGCCCACCTGTACCCACCATACTCTGTACCCACCATACCCTCCTGCACCCACCACACCCACCACATCCTCCCTGCACCTACCATACTCCCCTACTCCACCACACTCCCCTCTGCACCACCATACACCACCTGCACCCACCACACCACCTGCACCCACCCATACCCACCTGCACCCCACCATACTCTTCCTGAACCTACCCATACTCTTCCTGTACCTACCATACTCTCCCTGTACCTACCATACTCTCTGTACCTACCATACTCTCCTGTACCTCCATACTCTCCCCACCTCCACACCTCCACCTCCCACCTCACACCTCGACCTTCTGGTAAAGTCGAGGGAGTTTGTCACACTCAAGTAACTTCCTCACCTTAGGATCACCGCTTCCTGTCTGACACTCAATATGGATCCAGTTTCAGGTGAGTGTTGCATGGAGGACCAGCCTTGCCCTCCTCACTCAGCAACACCTCCACCTCGCTCTTACCATCTTCAGGAAATCTTAACTTCGGTCTTGACGTTTCTAAAATTCCACAAAGTTTTGGAACCAACTGACTCATTAAACTTCACCATTTTCATCTAATTTCATGGATATTCTCATCTATTTCTAAAAGTCTATTTCTATTTTTGAAGATAAATCTGTAACTGTAGTAGTGGAGGAGGTTCTGAGGTGACGAACTGTGCCACTACCTAAAGACGGAAGAGGTGGGGTGAGCTAGTGAGGTGGGCTGGGGTGGGGTGGGGTGGGGTGCGAGTGGGGTGGGGGTTGGTATTCTGGGTGGATCATTTAAACATTTCTCTGGGGGGTGGCTGGGGTTGATTGGTCTGGGGGGGTGTGGCTCTCCTCATTATAGCCGGGGTGTGGGTAGTCCAGGAGCGACCTCTCAACGCTCGGCAAGATCTTCACACCAGCTCACGGCTGTAGTGGGTGAGTGATGGTGGCGTGGCGCGTTCTCTCTCCCCCCCCCCTCCTCTCTCTCTCTCTCTCTCTCTCTCTCTCTCTCTTCCCTCTCTCACTGTCTCTCGTTCTCTGACACCAGTTCTCTCTCTCAATAGTCCTCTTGCTCTCTTTCTCTACACACAACACAACAACAAACACACATAATAAACCTACAAGTATAACCATCCGGACACACACACACACACACACACACACACACACACACACACACACACACACACACACACTCGAATATACTGCCCAACATACAGACGGACGCTCACGATCATGCATACACTAACAAATACAATGTACGCATATACACGTATACATTATGCAAATACAAACACACACTCATATTACAGAGAAGAGAGAGTTTAATTCCCAGACACAGTAAGGGGTGTGGGGTGAGAGAGGCAAACATAGTCATTAACCTGTGATTAGAATTATTAGGCAGCTGGTGTTTACAGGTCAGGACTATTCGCCATCAGCCCCCCTCCTCCCCTCAGCCCCCTCCTCCCCCTCAGCCCCTCCCCCCCCCACTCAGCCCCTCCCCCCCACTCAGCCCCTCCCTCCCCCACTCAGCCCCTCCTCCCCCTCAGCCTCCTCCCCCTCAGCCCCTCCTCCCCACTCAGCCCCTCCCTCCCCCACCCCCTCCCCCCAGCCTCCTCCCCCCAGCCTCCTCCCCCACCCCCCCCCCCCTCAGCCCCCCCCCCCCTCCTCCCCCCACTCAGCCCCTCCCCTCCCCCACTCAGCCCCCCTCCCCCCTCAGCCCTCCCTCCCAGCCCCCCCCCCCCTCACCCCTCCCCCCTCAGCCCCCTCCCCTCCCCCTCAGCCCCTCCCCTCCCCCTCAGCCCCTCCTCCCCCTCCTCCTCCCCCCCACTCAGCCCCCTCCCTCCCCACTCAGCCCCCTCCCTCCCCCACTCAGCCCCTCCCCTCCCCCCCTCAGCCCCCTCCCCTCCCCCACCTCAGCCCCTCCCCTCCCCCTCAGCCCCCTCCCCCCCCAGCCCCCCCCCCCCTCCCCCCAGCCCCCCCTCCCCTCAGCCCCTCCCTCCCCACTCCCCCCCCCCCCCCT